CGTGCCAGACACCAGTGAATGTGAACATTTTCCCGCTCAAATTGGTTACGACGACAACCCAGAGTCAGGTGGAGACCCCGATGAGGGGGACAAGCAATCAGATGAGCTTCCCTGTGAGGGTTTCTGACAATTTGTGCAGAAATTCTTTGGTTTGTAAACTGTTTCATGTTGGAGTGGCTGGTGTGAACAGGCCCTGGGCTGGTGTGGTTACACGTAGTCTGCGGTTGTGAGGCTGATTGGATGTACTGCCAAATTCTCTGAAAAGCCTTTGGAGACGGCTTATGGTAAAGAAATTAACATTCAATACACGAGCAACAGCTCAGGTTGACATTCCTGCTGTCAGCATGCCAATTCCACGCTCCTTCAAACCTTGAGGCATCTGCGGCATTGTGCTGTGTCATAAAACCACCTTTCAGATTGGCCTTTTATTGTGGGCAGTCTAAAGCACACCTGTGCACAAATCATGGTGTCTAATGAGCACCTTGAAATGGCACACCTGTGAGATGGGATGGATTCTTTCAGCAAAGTGCTCACTATCACAGATTTAGACTAGATATTTGAGGGAAATGGTTTTATAATGTATGAGGGGAAAAGTTTTAGATATTTGAGTTTGTCTCATAAAATATGGGAGTAAAACCAAAAGTGTTGTATATATATTAGTGTTGAGTGTATTTCACTGCAGCCACATGAGCAGCTGAACTTCCAATTCTTAATCAGATTCCTCTTGGAACAGTATTCTAATTTTATTCCCTTTATGAATGTTTGATCCACTGATTGTTTCATAAAACACTGCAGTTTGTGATTTCTGATCCCATCTGCATCCATGTAGGTTAAATTAAGTTAGTAAAGGACTTTCCCTACTGCTTCATCTGTCTGTCCTTGGACTCACCACTTTAGCCCAGTGGGGCAGCAGCAGGCGGTTGTCATCCAGTATCAGGATGTGTGTATGTTGGTGTGATGAGGACTGCAGTGCCGGGCCCAAGTCCAGAGCCACCCAGTCCCTCTGCTCCTCAGGAGTAAAGCCAAGAGCCTGGAAGCTGTAACCACAAATAGACTCTAATGTGACTTTCTGCATTTTAAATCCTAAAGGATGCTGCATAGTGTTAAAAATTAAATCAAAGACCTGTAGTTTGCCATTTGTCCTGCAGAGGGCTCATTTCCTGTAGTCAGTGCCCAGAAGGTTAGGTTATACTTGGCATATTCCTCAAGGAACCTGTGAGGGAGAGTTAAAGCACATCAGAGTATATCTCTATAGTATCAGGCATGTCTGATGGGTGACAATTCAAAGTAAATGAACCACAAATGACCTGACATAGTACTGAGCCCATGTTTTATGCTCCTTGCCTCCCGGCTGGCCCTTCAGGGAACCCTTTCCTATTAGTTCACCATTAGTTTTCATCCAGGCGGGGGCGCTCCAAGCACTGCCCAGCAGGGAAAGGGGGCGAGGAGACAATGCCTGGGCACGCAGCAGCAGAGGGATCTAAAAACAAAGAGGAGGATGGAGATGAAGACACAAAAGAGATGAACATGTTTCTGTGCCATTATAAAGACAGAGACCTTCATGTTCACGTCCTCAGGGGCTAAAGCAAAGTTTTTCAGTTCATAGTCCGAAGGTGAGTCAGCGTATGTGTACAGACGAGTGGAGAAGTCACAGCTGGCCATGGGGACACGCACAACGCTATAGCCGATACCTGGTACAAGGCAGAGAAACAAACTGTTCAGGCTCTTCAGTTGTTTATAACCAGCTTGGCATTTTGATATTGCTGATGGATTTATAATGTCAATTTGCTTCTTTTGTTGAATAATTTCCGTTTGTTGTGTCACATTCCATGCACTGTAGCCGTTTGCAAAATGATATCAACATGGAGCTGGTTATATTCTGAATGGGTCAATCACAGAAGGAGCCTCCCTTCTTATTTCAACTGCATTTGTGGTCGTAAAAATCAAATCAGCAATAAAAAAATAAAAATAAAAAAAGAGCTTGAAGCTCTGTTTATTAGCATAAGGTGTTTCTGTCAAATAAATGATTTGGAGAATATATTGATTCCTTACTCAGATGTTGCCACACTTTAAACCCTGCAGGTGTGCAGTATCTGGTGATTTTCTCCTCCAACTGTGACAGCAGCGCTGCTGCGCTCTGATTACATCAGTTTCACTGACATGCCTGACTTACTTTATTTCAAAACCTTTATCTCTTCACTGTGAAACAGACCTTTAATAACACTAAGGATTATATTTTGCAGTCATTTAATCCTGTGTGCTGCTGACATGATGAGATACATGTGTATATATGTATATATACACATATATATATGTGTGTGTATGTGTATATATAT